AAGTGGCTCCAAGAGTGCTTTTGGGGACCTGGAGGTGCTCTCAATCATTTTGAAGGCTGCCTATGCTGCTGTAATGTGCTGTGAGGTGGTTGAGGGTTTTGGGGTCTCTGGAGTGCTCCTCTCAGCTGGAACTGCCCAGGGTGAGGCAGGGCAGGTGAAAGAACACATTTTCAGGCAGTGAATGCCCTCAGCCATGCGTGAGCTCCGTGCTGGGCTCGTGGGACCCCGGGGCTGTGAGCCCCTCCTGCCTCTCCAGCTGGTGGCTGGAAGCTGCTCCAATCCTGGGCTCACCCAAAGGCTTGGGGCCACGGGGTGGAAGGAGGGGATTCTCCCTCTCTGCTGGGCTCTGGTGAGACCCCGTCCTGCTTTCAAAGACAGGGTCTGCCAAGGAGGGTGGGAACGTTCCTGGGAGGGAAAGGTGACCCCTCCCTCCAAAGCAGTGTATCTTTGAAACTGGGGGGCTTCCAGGCAAATATGTGGGACAGGCAATGACTGTTGTTTTCTGTTAATTTCACATCAAATATCTATATATCTGTATATCTATAAGTCTATATATCTATATCTGTCTATCTATTTCAGAGCAGACAATAAACCCCACCAATGGCAGAAGTTTTCCTGCCTGTTAAGCATCACTTTTCCCTTTGGTGCAGTTATGGCCATAACCGGCTGGGGACGCTGGTGACTGCGGTAAAACCATCCCCAGGGCACACCCTCACAGCCGGGAATTCCTTCCCAATCTCCCATCCAGCCCTGCCCTCTGGCTGTGGGAGCCATTCCCTGTGTCCTGTCCCTCCATGCCCTGGCTGAAGTCACCCTGCCTCCTGATACACAGTTGGGCAGATAAAGGTGTTTGAAATGGGGCCTTTGGTCTGTGGGAGGGGACGTGGAGGGTTTGGGGGGCAATGGAGAAATGTGAACCTGCAGCAGCTGTGGAGGGGTTGGATGTTCTGTACAGGCTGGAAAGACTTGTTCTTGTGTCCTTTTTATGGGTATGTGGTTTATATTGGTGAAGTTTTTCGGGTTTTTTTATGATAGGGAAACCTATCAACAGTAACTACACATATTTCTATTTGTCAACATAGAGCCTGAAGAGAATCAAATGCTAAAATGTGACTTTAATCTATGCAAAGGAAATAAAAATGTGTGGTTGACAGAGGGGCAGAGCACAATGATCCCTCCCTTTCCTTCCTGCAGTTTGCATGAACCTTGAGGGTCAAACAGGACCTTGGAACTGGACACGGCTGTGGACGAGGACACGGAAACCAAACCCCTCTTGCTTTGCCTTTGCTTTGCCAGCAGAGCCCAGTGTTCCTCCTGCTGCTGCAGGGTTGGGGCACTGGGGCTGCTTCCTCTCACTGCTCTCAGGTCATTCTCTGCTCACCCATCAGCTCAGCTCAAAAACTGGGTTGGGCTCAGATGCAGAGGCCGCATCTCTGGTGGCTTCAGCTCGCTCTGTGATAAGGCAGCGTTTGGGTACGGCAGGTGCTGCCCTATATTGTGGCTTTGTCTGTTTGCAGGAGCATCCCCAGCTTGGAGCTCTTGCAGGGCTCGGCTACAGGCAGTGTCTGGAACGGCAAGGAGAGCTCTGACAGAATTAATGGGGTGTGTTTGTTTGTGACAAAAGGAACAATGAGGGCAAAGATAAAAAGGAATGTGGACTAAAAGCTTCATACCACTCAGACTTAATAGTGCTTAAGTTATACCTTAAACCTAATAATTTAACAAAGGAACAACACTTGACGAATAGCTTACTTAACTCACAGCCTAACCCTAACAATGAACAGAGGAATGACACTTAACAGCTCTTAACTGAACTTAGGAAATCAAAGTCGAACTGAGCAACTTCGCAGAGAGCAACACTTGGCAGCATTTCACTCAGCTTAGAACTCATGACTTAACCTCGCTCACAGGCCTAACTTAGTGAGATACCGGAGGTACTCAGCCCCTCAGGGAGCAGCATTTCTGCCAGCTTTGCCAGGGCACCGGCACTCTGTGTGCACACAGTCAGTGTGATGTACCTGGGAGGAACTCCCCCGAGGGCAGGGAAATGCTCACTTTGGATGCTGTGGCATCTCCCCAGCGGGTCAGCCTTCGAGGAGGATCAGCCCAGGACTCGTCATTTTTTGGGGCTCCCCCCAGGGCAGCAAACGGGAGAGTCCCGGCTGGGAGAGGCCCCGCTCGGAGGGAGTCGCTGGCCCAGGAGAGCTCCAAGGGGCTCCTTTTGGAGCGCTGTTTGCAGGGCCCCACGAGAGGGGCTCCAGTCACAGCAATGGTTCATCCTGGCCGCACTTCCACTGAAAGTGTGACAACGGGGATGTTGTGCTGTTTGGGCAAGAGAGTCTGTTCCCAGGGCTGCTCCTAAGGAAGGCAGGAGCAGTGTTTGTGATCACTCCAGAGGAGCTGAGCCCAGGGGCTGCTCCTCGAGGCCGAGGCTGAAGGAGCATTTCTGAGATCATGGTGCAGCCAGGAAAGGGGCTGCACCCCCACAGTCCACCCGGGGATTACAGCCAGCTTCTGCTGCACAGCGTGGCTGTGCGGTCAGCTCTGGCCTCTGTGCCTGCAAATGCAGATCTGATTATGTTCCACTTACAAAGTCAGGGAGATTTTTGGTCAGGTTATGTTTTTGTGGCTTCTTTGAATGTGATGGAACCATGTTATATGTGAGGGGAGGTTTGCTGATAGCCACACTCCAGTAAGGAAAACATTTAACAAGGAGCAGAATAAGACAAAAATCAGCAAAATTAGAAGAGGGTGCAGTATCAGATCTGAAATTCCTCTTGTGGTTAGAGGCCACCTGAACAAAATGTCCTACCACTGGTGTTGTCCATCTCCTCTCACTCCAAGACATGGTGTTTCTCCTGTTGCCTGATGAGCAGTGATTAGAGCTGTGTCCATCACTTCAGACATGTTCCAGTAGTTGACATGGCTCATGCTGCAGGAATTTTTTCAGCAGTGCCTGGTTTATTCCAATAGGAGGGGGCAGGAAACCTTGATGGGATGTGTATGCAGATTGCAGTAATTCAGGGGTTGTGACAGGAGTGGAATGGTTGAGGTTGCATCCCCTATTTGTTACAACACAGCTGTTTGAGTGATTGTTTATCCTGTAGTGGTGTAGTCTGTGACTATGGGATCACAAAGACTCCTCATACAAACACAGTCATTTCCAGCATATATAAGCACAGTTTCAGGAATTTCATCAGATGGATTTCAAAATTATCAGCGTTCTGCTCAGTGTCTAGGCAAATGTTTTGAGCCTTGATAGTGTTACTTTCACCAATAAATATCAGTTATTGTCACACAATGTGGCACCAACAGCTTGCCACTTACACCCTTGGGATTTCAGTGGGCAGTGCACCTTCATAGCTCTCCCTGAGAACTGCTGCTGCAGCGAGGTGTGCAGCTGAGAGCGAGAGGTGCTGGCTTGGGCTGCGCCCGGAGCATTCCCTGGCAGGCGTGTCATGCTCTCAGGGCAGCTTCTTGAAACATCTGCCCTGCTCCTCCAAGGAGGTCTGCTGGAAACTGGGGGAGCGAATTCAGTGGTTGGAGGTGGTGTTTCACATTTTGCAGTGAGCTTTCCCTCTGCCAAATCCTTGTTACTAGCTGGAATGTCTAGATTTGTACAATTATCGCTGCCTTCATTAGCAAAGGCCTTTGAAATGCATTCAGGCTCCAGTGTGTGGGCACAGCTGTTGGCAGAGTGCCCACTATAGACAGGACAAGGCAGGGTGTCCCTCCCGGGGGTCGGGCTTGGTGATGCTCGTGCCCAGTCTGGATTTCTTCTGTGAGGAGAACTTCATCTTCAGTGGAGATGTGTGGGCATCGTTCCTAGCATTAGTTTCTGCAAAGGAAAAATAAAACTGATCTACAGGGAGGATTGCCTGGATGGGTTACCCCACTGAAAGGGAGGACAAATCCACCAGGCACTGGTTTTGTGTTTTGTCCCACCCCTGTCAGGAGCTTCCCCAGCAAGTGGAGCACAAGGCTGATGAGCTTCTACCTGTTGGGCTGGCAGGCCCAGATGCCATCTGGATTTTATTCGGTTTTTGACTCCTGCTTTTGGGAAGGAAAAGAGTTACTGTTCCTCCCTGGAGCCTGTTGTTGTTGTTGTTGATGATGTGTGTTTGGATAATTTTCTCCCTGATTGTTGTTGGCTCGTTTGAGGGCTGCATCAATTAGGCTCTGAAGAGCACTAATAGGCTGACGCTGGTGCCTGGCATGTGTGTTTGGGATGGCCAGGGAGAACACCCCAGGCCACCTCAGCATGTTTGATGGGACTGTGCATTAGTGGTGTCCTGCTGGGGATTCCCTCAGGGTTTAAGGCTGCTGCCCCGCCTCTGACTAATTGTGCGCTGAAGGTCGCATCTCCGGTGGCTTCGCCTGGCTCCGTGATAAGGCCGGGTTTGGCTACGGCACGTGCCCACCTAATTGGTGGCTTTGGCGTGTTTACAGGAGCTCTGATGGGAACACGCTGTGCTGCGGGCTGGCCGCGGGCAGTCTGGAATGGCAGGAAGAGCCCATTCCCAGATTTAATGGCTCTCCTCCGTTTCACCACCCAGCCGGCCACCGAGTGGGAATCACTTGAGGGTAGGGAAGGTAAAACAGCACCAGGAGCCCAGAGCACGCTGACCTATTGCCCGTTCAGCACTGTCACCCTGCGGATCGCTGCCGTGCTGCCGGGTCATTCCCGGCTCCTCCCGGCGAAGGCGCCCCTGGATCCCGCCAAGGCTCCCCGGGAGCGGCCCCTCAGCGCGCAGCGCGCGGGCGCCCCCCAGCGGGCGGGCCCCGCCCCGCCGCCAGCCAATGGGAGGGCGCGAGGGCCCCGCCCCGCCCCTCGGCGCGCAGCGCGCGGGCCCCCCCCAGGGGGCGGCCCCCGCCCCGCCGCCAGCCAATGGGAGGGCGCGAGGGCCCCGCCCCGCCGGCGCCGCAGCCAATGAGGAGGCGCGAGAGCCGCGCCCCGCCGAGCCCGCGAGGTCGCTAAATGCAGCCGCGCTGAGGAGCGGTCCCTCAGAGCCGCTCCCTCAGAGCTGCGACCATGAGTTGTCGGAAGTGCTGTGGTTACCTGCCGCCTTTCGAGCACTTCGCCACCGATGCCATCCACTTCGGGCAGGAGCCCGAGCAGTGGAGCTCCTGGGCCGTGGTGCCGCCCATCACGCTCTCCACCACCTTCAAGCAGAAGGAACCCGGGGAGAACAGGGTAAGTGCGGCCACCACGGGCCCCCGAGCCCCGCTGCGGCCCCGGCGTGTCCGGGCCGGGGCAGCGGGGGGCGGCAGGTGCCGGGCACGGAGGCAGCTCCCGGCGCGGATGTTCCCCCCGGGGCGCTCCTGGGCAAACGCGAGCATCTCGCTGGGCCGGGAGCGGGGCTCCCGCCCGGGCGGGCGGCGGAGTCTCCTGCCGGGGACACGGCAGAGCCCCTGCCCGCGATGCCGTGCCCTGCGCTCCGGGCTGGCCCTGCCGAGCAGCGATGGGGCCGCAGGAGCCGCTGTGGTTCCTTGCAGCCTGAGCCAGCCCGGGCTCGGTGTTCCCGCAGCGGGCGGCCATCCGGAGCGGTTTGGGATGAGGCTGGGATGATTCCCGTGTGCCAGGCGGGGGAAGGGGAGCAGGGAGCGCCCGGTGCCCCCGGGCTCGCGGAATGCTGCTCCAGGGGCTGCCCGGAGCCGGAAATCTGGGAGGCTCTCCCGGCCCTTCTGCCCCCTGGGAGAACGGGATACATGCATGCGTTTGCTTTTCCTCACTACCTTTTTCCAGATTTTGTATTAAAGCTGTGGTACTGAGCCATTGCCAGAGGAAAGTTTGGACTTTCAAGATCTGATGGGGAGGAATTGTCTGGTGCCCTGTGATGGAGATGGACACACGTTTTTCCTGAGAATTTCCCCCAGAGAGGCTGAGGAGTCTCCCTCTCTGGAGATACCCAGAACTGTCTGGACACCATCCCGTGCCCTGTGCCCTGGGATGGCCCTGCTGAGCAGGGAGTGGGAGCAGGGCACCCTCGTGGTCCCTTCCAGCCTGACCCAGCCTGGCATGCTGAGGGTGGTGGGACTGTGCAGCCCGAGCCCTTTGTCCCACAGTGGCCACAGAAGGATGTCTGGGAGAGGCAGGAGAATGTGGCTCCTTGCCCCAGGGCAGCCCTGGCCCCTTTCTCCAGCAGGGATGCCCAGCTGGGTGTTGTGCCAGGACACCCTCCTGCTGCTCTGGGAGGAGCTGGGTGCCCTCAGCCAGGGCTCTTTAAGGAACCCAGAACTGTTGTGATTTTAAAATTTCCTGTGCTCTCTCTGATGTTTGTTTCTTATTCCCACCCCAGGGTTATGATTACATCCGGTCTGGGAACCCCACTCGGGATTGCCTGGAAAAGGCTGTGGCCACCCTCGATGGAGCCAAACACAGTGAGCACCTCATGGGCTGGACGGGGCTTGGAGCAGCCTGGGACAGGGGCAGGGGGTGGCACTGGGTGGGCTTTGGGGTCCCTCCATCCCAAACCCTTCCATGGTTCTGTCACCACGGCTCTGGCTGTTGGCTGTGGGCAGGAGCAGCTCCACGGTGGGGAAGAGCCCAACACTTGTGGTGCAGGAATGTCCAGCTCCATCCCTGGCTTTGTCTCCTGCTTCCTCATGTGGCTGATGCCTGGGCTGGGCTGGATCCATCCTTGTGCAGCAGCACTGGAGGCAGTGGGAGCAGGCAGCCCCTGGCCCCAGTCCGTTCCCAGCGAGTCCCAGTCCGTTCCCAGCGAGTCCCAGTCCGTTCCCAGCGAGTCCCAGTCCGTTCCCAGCGAGTCCCAGTCCGTTCCCAGCGAGTCCCAGTCCGTTCCCAGCGAGTCCCAGTCTGCCCCGGTCCATTCCCAGTCTGCCCCAGTCCGTTCCCAGTCTGTCCCAGTGTCCATGCTGGTTCCATGCTGTGCACATCCATCTCCTGCTCTCACTGGCTCCACGTTCCCAGTGAGGCAGTGACAGGACAGGTTCTTTTCAGAGGCCAAGGGAGGAAGGCCAAGGCAAGTCTGACTTGTTGTGTCACATCAAACACTGATGATCCTTTCTCCTCCAGGCTTGGCTTATTCCTCTGGCATGGCAGCAATTCTGAACATCTGTCAACTGTTGAAGACAGGGGAAACAATTATCTGCATTGATGATGTCTATGCAGGTGGGTACAGCACCCAGGGGCTTCAGCCTTCTTTGTGCAGGGGCTCAAACCTGCCTGTGGCTCTCAGGAACCCTGAATTTCCCATGTAGGACCTCACTGCTCTTTGCAGGCTGTTTTTATCAATCCCCTCTTCCTCACAAGTGCCCGTGCAGAGTGCACCCAGCTCTGCCAGAGTCCTGCTCTGAGCAGGGTGAGCTCACCCCAGCTCTGGGAACTTTCCCCTGCTCCTTGGAGCCTCAGCCTGGGCTGCTTCCTGCAGGGCTGAATTTCCTTGCTCCTCCTCGGGCTTGGTTTGTTATCAAGAAAGGGTTTCCCACAAAAGAACCCCCCAAACATCACTCAGATGTTTCCTTCAGCTCACAGAATCCACCTCCATGTTCCATCCCTTCCTGCTCGGGTGGAAAACTGAGTCCCTGGGGATCACCTTGGCAGGAGGACCCAGTCAATGAATTTTCAATCCAGGCAGTGTTTCCAGTGGGAGTGCTGCACATCCATGGATCTCCTGTTGCTGCTGGATTCTTTGAATCCTCCCAGGGAAAGGCTTCAAAGACAGGAAGGAATCATTTTATTGGAGTGCTGGGAAACAGCAGCTGGAGTCTGCCCCTTGTTTCTTCTTCTGTGTTTAATTTCCTGATCATGAACCCCACAGTGATTTCAAGTACTTCCTAAACCACTGTGATCCCATCTTCCCATTATTACTATTTCATGATCACTCAAGCTGCAGCAATATTCAAACTTGGTAAATAAAGAAAGTATAAATGTGCCACTGATGGTGTGCAGCATAAAGCTGTGCCCTCCTGACTGTCCCTGCACGATGCAGGAGGGTGGAGAGCAGGGAATGAAAGTTAAGGAAGTTGTTTCATTTTGTGACTTTTGTTTTTTCTTAGGCACGAGAGAATTATTTGAAAAATTAGAAGAGGAGTTTAATTTGAAAGTGGTATATATTGACTGCAGAGACCAAAAAAAGCTGGAAGATGCAATTAGACAAGAGACCAAGACCAAGGTAGGGGAGAGGGAAATGTATTTTAAAGGGATGTTAAATTGTTTTATCCCTGCTCCTGTTGGGTTTGGGGGTGTGTTGAGCTGAGGGAGGGCAGCCTGGGGCACAGCTGGATCCACCATATCCCACGGTGCTGCCTCCTGGAAAGCATCCCAAGAAGGGCAGAAAGCCCTGGAGAGAGAGGAGGGAACAGGGAAAAGGTGAGGAAGAGCAGAGGGAATGCAGAGCTGGGGGTGCTCCATGGCACTGCTGGGTGATCCCTGCTCCAGGGGAGGGAACTGTGCTGGGAAAGGCTTTGGGAAGGCTCTGTCCTGGCTGGGTGATCCCTGCCCCAGGGGAGGGAACTGTGCTGGGAAAGGCTTTGGGAAGGCTCTGTCCTGGCTGGGTGATCCCTGCCCCAGGGGAGGGAACTGTGCTGGGAAAGGCTTTGGGAAGGCTCTGTCCTGGCTGGGTGATCCCTGCCCCAGCTGGGATGCCCTGGGATGGCACAGGCCCAGCTGGAGGAAACCTCCCTGAGCTTGGAGGAAGCAGCTGGAGCCTCCCCTGGCTCTGGCTGGGCCACTGCCTGTCCCCAGTGCACAACCCCAGGGAGCTGCCAGCCCTGAGCACCCAGAGCCCCTGGGACTCAGCCCAGCCCTGGGAAGTCTCTGACCTGGAGTTTTTTTGGGTTTGTGCAGCTGGTTTGGCTCGAGAGCCCCACAAACCCCACGCTGAAGGTGATCGACATCAGAGCCTGTGCAGAGGTGGCACACAAACATGGACGCAAGGATGTGCTGGTTGCCGTGGACAACAGCTTCATGTCTCCATATTTCCAGGTGTGTGGGAAAGGACAGGACTGTCCCCTGTCCCAGTGGGGCTGGAGATCCCTTTTGGGAAGGGAAGCAGCACCAAGGAACTGCAGTTTTGGGCTCTGCATTGTAAAGTGTCCTGCTCTGCTCCAGCCCCAGCCCAGGTGCTGCAGCCTTTGCAGCAGTGAAGGGGGCAGGGGGAGTCTGTCCTCCAGGAATGATGGAATTCTGTTCTTCCTGATGGAAATCAGAACAGTTACAAAGGGTTCCCTCACTTTGGTCTTATTACATCAGTTCTTCTGTAGAAGCTGTTCATGGGCTGTTCTGAGCCACAAAGATAAAGACCTGAAGGTAGGGGAAGACAAACCAAGCAAACTTCATCCAGTCTTTCTTGGGGACATCCACTTTACCTTTTTCTTGAATTCATTGTGTTTCTCCCCTTGTTTTTGCTGTGTGAGCTCAGAGC